ATACACAACAGGATACTGTTCAGATATTTTAAAAGATGCGATTCTGTCATATGCAATAACACGGAGAGATGATGAATGATAAAGAAATGATAAAAAATTTTTAGATAATTTTTAGGGTAATTACCCTGATGTGATCATTATACATGAATTGAAAGATCAAATTGTGCTCTTAAGTATGTACATTATTATATAATGTACATATTATATGTCAATAAAAAATTAAAAATAGACACTGAAAGCAAAAAAATCACACATCAACAAGATAATTTATAAATATAGGTATTTATCAACATTGTCTCAAGTTTTATAGGCTAAAGGTACCATGGTTTAGTGACAAAATTAAGGGGCCAGAATTAACTAGGATTAAAATCTTAGTAAAATTGTGCATTTAGCATATTCCGCTTATATTTAAGAGGAGCCAGAAAAGAGTAGCAGAAACAGGGACAGCCATGGAAAGAAGGGGGATAATGTATTCCTTGTCAGATGTTGACACTTGACTAGCTGTGGGGAAAGTGGACTATTCTAAGACAATACTCAGATTTCAGGCTTTGAGGACTAGGAAGAAGCTATTGTCATTAAGTAGAATTTCCTTTTTTTTTTTTTTTAAATCCAAAAGGTAAAATGGCTTTAAAGCCATGACAATGACACAAGTGTCAAATATAGGGTCAGAGTTGAAGAATCTGAGAGTTCAAGTTCCTCCAAATAAACTTTCATTATACATGTGAAAAGAGAGGAACCCAAGGAGTTTAGGAGACTTGTCCAAGGCTACCTAATAAAGCCAGTAAGTGAATCCAGGCTGGACTGATTTGCCATGAAGATGGGATAAAAGAGTCATCAAGATCAGGACTGGAATGTGGATTGAGGGCTCATGAAGGAGTGGGGGTGACTGAAGACAGGGGCATGGATGGGATCTCAGGGGAACAAAGCACAGGGGAAGAAAGGCAGGTAACCGTGACCTTGGCCAATAACAACAACAGCTAATACTGGGTGTTCAGCATGGGTCAGGCACTGTTCTACAAATAGAAGGGTGGCATAGGACACTGAATGCTCTAAATACCTTTAGGGTAGGTAACTCGAGTATCCTTATCTCACAGAAGAAGAACTAAAGCAGAGAGCAGAGATGTGGTTTGACGGGGGTCACCCAGAAGCCGGATGCAGCCTCCTGCAACTGCACCCCACCCAGCGTCTTGATCTGAGGGCAGAGGGAGAAACCAGAGTGGGTGAAACAGTCATAAATGGATGATTCAAGAGAAAAGAGGAGATGCCATTGTTGCAGAAGATGAAGAACGACAGCGGGAGTGTGGTGAGAACTTTGAGCCCCATCTTTGAGCCCTACCAGGGCCCAGTGCTGATCCTTCCTTTTATTCTATGAGGTTCACCTGAGGACCCGCCTCTCCACACTGTCAGGCCTGGCCAGAAGCACATCTGTCTCAAGAATTCCTGTGTGGCCCTTCCTAGGATTCTACTCATCTCATACCAATGTTTGGTAAATCTGTGAGGACTGGCTAGGGTGCGTGAAAAGGCATGTGGGACACGTGGCTTAAGTGGAAGCCTGGAAGTACTGCCTCCTTGAGTCCATCTTTTCTTCCTTTTTTCCCCATGGTGCTGGGGATTGAACCTAGGTCCTTGTGTATGTGAGGCAACCTCTCTACCAACTGAGCTATATCCTCAGCCCTTTAATCCATCTTAAAGTAACTTGAAAGGGGTCATCATCAGGAAGATTTGCTACAGCATCAATTCCCAGCTTCTTGTATCTATCACCAGTTGGCAAAATCTTCTGAGGATATCCTAGCCCTTTTGTGTGTCCAAAGATTTGATGGCATACATCTTCCACTATTAAAAGGAGGTATAAAAATACTTTTTCTTTGCTGTTATAATTGATTAAATATTATGCATGTATATGCATTTGTGTTACTATAAAAATGGAATTTTGATCAATCTAAGCATCTTTTTTTAAATGTATTTTTTTAGTTGTTCACGGACACAATACTTTTATTTATTTGTTTGTTTATTTTTATGTGATATTGGGGATCGAACCCAGTGCCTCATGCATGCTAGGCAAGCACTCTACCACTGAGCCACAACTCCAGCCCAGGTTAAAGCATCCTTATGATCTTGTTCTAACAAGGTGGGCCAAAATAAGTCATTTTGGTATTTACACGATACAATTATTACAATATTGCCTTGATTCAATTAGACTTTGAAGAAGAAACAGGATCAGAATTTAAATGATTTTATCAAACTTCATGTTAGGAAACTGAGGCCCGGGAAGGCAAAGTGACTTGCCTAAAGTCCTCCTAGGACATCTGTGACAAAGGCAGGTTGAGAATTCAGTTTTAAGGTTCCAGCTGAATTTATTCCCAGTTATCTCTAAAAATTACAATATCACTTTTAACAAAGATTGAGTATTGTGGATTGCTAGAATTATTTTTGCAATTCATTTTAAAGTAGATTAATATCTGTAACAGTTTAATTTTCTTTTAGTGAGTATGATAAGCTTTAAAATCTTCAAGCTGGTAAATACAATTTAAAAATTCAATTTTTGAGCTTTTTAATTTGTGAAAATCTATACTACTGCAAGAGCATTGGGAATAATTGGGAAATGATGTGTTTTTCTTTTTGTTGCAAATGCCAGATATCTCTGATCATTCTTTTACATGAGCTTTAGGTCTCTCTAAACATATTCTTCATTTACATCAGGAAATTTTCAGGAGGGCAAGTAATTTTTCCTCCACTGTTTTATAAAGAAATAATCTTTTAAGCAATCAAAAGCTTTTTCAGCATTAACACTGGAACTATCATGGGAAATTTGTGTAATTGGCCCTACTGCAACACACTGAAATTTTACATTTGTTTGTTTGTTTTTTAATCATCTGTCCAGGACCCTTTAGGATAAATCCACTTTGATCATGGTAGATATGTAATCCCATTATGTGACTTCAGTCTCTTTGGCAATGTCAAAGTAAACAATTTCACAGTTGGTTTAAGTGTGACATGGGTTAATAAGGTCCCATTTCTGTTGATGTTACTGAGTGTGGGCAGAACAATATGAGGTAGCAATCTTCTAGTCTATTAAACTATCATTGGCTGGGGAGGGTTTATTAAAAGTTCTTCAAATATTTTTTTTTGTATAGTAGTGTGGCAAATCCATTCATCATCTCCTGCTGCCTTAACTGATTTTTTTTTTTAAATAAAGCACTGTCCTCTTCACCCCCAATCCCAGGGCAGCAGTATTGAGAACTGAGTGAGATTTCTGTTTGCAGCAACTGTTCCCTTTTAAAACCCTCTCCCCACTAGTTCTCCTGTTTTTCTTCTTCCTGAAAACTGCTGCTCCATCCCTTTCTTGGTTCCTTTGCTTCCTGTGATTAAGCAAAGGTATCCTCCCCAGGGCCATACGTGGTTGTGGAGTGACTGGGTTGACGCAGGGAGGACTCACACCTGGATCACGGAATGATCCGTGACTCAGGTTTCCTCTCAGCTTCCTTACAAGGCCCGAGCAGCCTAAAGAAGTTGGCAGCCTGTGGCAACAGTTAAAAGGTTCTTTCTTTAGGAAAAGTCAACATTGCTGCAATAGAAAGTTGAATTGTGTCCCCTCCAAAGATGCGTCCAAGGTCTACTCCTGGTACCTGAGATGGTGATTTTATTTGGAAATAAGGTCTTTGAAGATGCAATCGAGATGTAGTTATTCTGAAGGAAGGTGGGTCCTAAGCCAATACAACTGAAGTTCTTATAGGAAAGCAAGAGACAGACATGTACACAGAGTAGAGCTCTATTTGAGACAGAGGCACAGAGAGAATAGCATGTGGTGACAGGGGAGACTGAAGTGATACAGCAACAAGAAAAGGAACTCTGATTGCTAGAAATACCAGAAGCTAAGACGAAAGGCCTGGAACAGATCCTCCCTCAGAGGCTCAGAAGGAACCAACTCTGCTAACATTCTTGATTACAGACTTCTACTCTTCAACACTGTGAGAGTAAATTGCTATCGTTTTAAGCCATCCAGTCTGTGTTCTGTTGTTACAGCAGCCACAGGAAACTAATACAGCTACCCACAAGCTGTCACTGAGATCTTCCATCAGCAGCTACAAACCCTCCTGGTTCTCACACCCAAATCCACATGTTTGGGGTTACTGGATGGATGGTGAATCTTATGTCTTTTCCTACTTAGCCATGCTGGCATGGACCCTGGAAGCTCTGGTGTTATTTTCTTTCCATACAACCCCTGACCTAATTCTTACCAGCCTCTTCTAGCAGACTGGATTCTATTCTTCATCCTGTAGCCACTGTCCAGCACTGTTGAGATAAGGTTCGTCACCTGGGATTGTGTGACACCCATCTCTACCTTCTAATGCAGAGCCTGGCCCACTGAGCATTAAGTCTCTTAGCTTCTGCATGAACAGAAGTTTGCCACCATTTCTTAGCTATTGTGTATGGGGCTGTATAGGTGTCCCCAAAGGTAGCCACCTCCCAGCTTTTCTCCCTCCCGCTCCCAACCAAGCCCTGCTGAAGAGGCCTCAGCTTCTAAGCGCAGACAATCGTCCAAGGAGTTCAGACTTTGTGTCTTGCATTGTTCATGATAATGCTGCCAGCTAATGCTAGAATGAGGGTTGGAACGTAAACCAAAATACAAATAGAGAGGTGCTCATCACACAGAATCACAACACAAGGCACTTATAACTCCATCATATATACATAGTGCTTCCCCACCTTTTATACCATGGTCCCCACAGAGCACAACCCTGCAGTGACAGCATGCTAGAGTAAATGGGCAAGGCTGCTTCTGGGTGATCCAGCATCCAGGTTCTGCCTGGTTACCCCAAGTCTGCAGAGACCTATCAATCTGCCCACTGTAATCCTATCTGGTGGGGGATGCTCCATCCTGAGGTCAACATAGAGCACTCCTTGAACAGGTGGGGAAATGGGAAATAATAATGACCAGTATGTGGACAGATGGTGGCTTACCTTCCATGACAGCACTGATACAGTAGTATATAGCTCACCTGCATTGTCCACTGTCCTTATCGCAATCTGGGGCAGCAGCCCCAATGATGCCCCTCTTAGAGCAGTTGCAGCCTTGGCAACCGGCTAGGGGGTGGAAGCTGAAGGAATGCAGCTCGCAGGCCTCACACTGGGGTCTGACAGTGCGGGGAGGGCAGAGGCACTGCCCGGTCACCTCTTCACAAAGCCGCCTGCCACAGTTGCACTCTGGCCAGGGGATAGAGAGATGTGGTATTAGGATTAGGCACTGCCCGACCTCCAGCTGGACTGCACCAACTGCCAGGATTTCCAGAAGTTTCTAAGGGACTCAGAATTGTTTTTCCTCCCATTCATTAAGAAATCATTGACCTCAGTGGATCTGAAAGTCCCCATTTCTTGGGGCCAAAACCAACATACCAAATATTCCTGGCAGATACAGTGTGTGGATCCTGAATGAGGCATAGCTGGACTAACTGGTTCCAAGCTAGATCCTCCAAGGAGCCCACCAAACTGCTGTCATGTGCTGTTCTTTTATAGAACTGCTGTTCATCAGAAAGTTCTAGAAATAAGCAAGTAGGGGCTGCTCACAGGCTCCCAGATGCAGCTCCATGGCCTCCCAGTGCACTGCAGGCCCAGAGGCCAAGGTCAGGGCCAATGGATGCAGCTATATCATTTCTTGCTTATTTAGGGAAAGGCTGGTCTCTGTAGGGTGCATTGCCACCACATGACATAGGTGACCTATGCCTCAGATCACAGATGGTTCTTAGACAAAAGCTCAAGGGTTTCTCATCCTGCAAGTAGCACCTAGTCATAGGTGTGACCCTGGTTCTCCTATCTCAAGTGAGTTTCAATTAGGCCATAAAAACTGAAGGGGCTTCTACAAGGAAGGGATTTAGCTGCCCAAGATTCTGACATATAAGTCTGTAGTCAGCTGCTTGCCAAGTGCATAGGTCACATGGCATGGGGATCACCAATATTTGTCTTCTAGAACTTGCTACTCACTGTGGCCCAGGGGAATGGGAATCAGATGGGTGCCTACTGCAAGTGCAGAGTCTCAGGCCCAGGTTTGCATTTCATAAACCCTTGAGGTGAGTCTCTGGCACAGTGGTATTTGAGAAGCCCTTCCCTGGATGAGCATCCCCTGGGAACCAGAGAAGGCCTTGGAGGTCTGGAGTTGCTCACTTACGCTTGCATTGTGGGAATCCATAGTGGCCAGTTGCACAGCGGGTACACTGCCGCCCGATGATGTTGGGCCTGCACGGGCACTGCCCGCCCTCAGGATTGCAGTGGTGGCTGATGGCCCCAGCAGGGTCACATTCACAAGGCAGAGCGCCATTATGGTAAAAGGCCACCAAGGACCTGGCAGAATTCTTACAGAATCTGGAGGCTGTCTGGGGACTGAGAAAACAGAAACAACTTATTGCTGACATCCTGGGACATGTGCCTGGAAATATCCCAGACTTCCCTTTCCCATCTGTTCCTCCCAACAGTATCCTTGGGGGTGGGGGTGGGGGTGGGTGCTCTGGGCTCTGAGACTGAGAAATCTCAGCTGCTAACAACTACTCTTTTCCCCAACCATCCAGTCCAAGAGAGGATGCCACCGGAATGGTCAGTGGGAACTCTGGGTAGCTGGAGTCACAGGGTGAAAATACACCTATAGGATGAACACTGTGGCCTGTGAGTTATATCTCAATAAAGCCGGTATTTTAAAAAATACAATAATAAAACCGATAGATAATAAGGAGGAAGGCAATCACCATGTATTGAATGTTGCTTCTAGAAGCTTCAGTTATATCTCATTGAACCTCACAATCACCCAACCAATTAGGCCTCAGCCCCATTTCACAGATAAGATGACTGAATCTCCTAGAAGTTAAGCAACATTCCTAAGGCCGAAAGA